AAAATACTGTAGTGTGAAAATAAACGATTGGTATTAATTTTTTTGAACTCACTAATTCTATTAAATTGTTTCAACAATTAACCGCTGCATGTTATGAGAAATAATGTAAAATTGAAGTAGGTAAAAAGTTTTTAAAAACTGAAATTGGAACCATTACATTAATGAATAAAAATTTACGCATACCTTATTTGAAAAAAATATGAATTTTAATTCAAAAATTTATTTAGTTTGCATGGAATGCCAGATTTTGGAACTGTGACTGCTAGAGAGAAAGATATTTTTGCCAATATTAAGGAACAATTAGGAATACTTCTCGAAAACCAGATTACTCATTTTGGGTAATTATACTATTCTTTTCTTTATAATTTAGACTAAATTAGCTTATTATTTAAAATCCACTTGCTAATTTGTTTTCTAAAGGTTTGGTTATCCTCTTAGAGGTTGTTTCTAATGTACCCCAATTCATTTTTAGTTTCAGTTCATTATCAGTTTACCTGAAGCAGATAATATTGTTTACATTTGGTGCAGTATGGGCAATTTTTGAAGCTCTACTCTTAACTAATTTTTTTTTTTAAAATTTAGAATATTGCTTAAATCCTTTCATTTTGTAATTTAGTGTGTGTAAGAGGGGTGATTGTATTCCGGGGGTATCCCGGAATTCCAGCTTTTTGGTATTATTTTCTTACTTTTGGTCTTATAAAAAAAGGGTGACCACTCAAAGCGTAATCTATGGAATATTTAATCATGATATTTCAGCTATACTAAACTATTTCATTTACTATAGAATTATTTAAGTATGTACTAAACTATTTCATTTACTATAGAATTATTTAAGTATATTTATTTCCAGCAATTGAGACTAATAAATATAGTTAGCCCAATATAGTCCACACAAAAGCTCAGTAATTGTTGTTTCCTCTTAATATATTGTATATAATATGAACAGGGAAAACACATTGGATTTTTTTCCCAGATTTGAGTAGCAACCCTGAGAAATAATTAATATTTTTGCCGAAAATTTTTTGCAGTGATATAAAAATAAAATTTATTAATTGGAATAATAAGAGGGAATGATTATTTATTGTTATGGATCATAAAATAGTTTATTTGTGTTCTTTAAACCAAATGTAAAGTAATTTAAAATTGAAAATAATTTACATGTTTATTATTAATATGAACAGGATCTAAGTATTTTTCATTAATTTCAGTGTCAAAATACCAACTTTGGTGAGCTTGTCGGTTTTTTTTTATTTATTTATTATTGTTGATCATTTTGATTTTAACAAGTGAAAAGTTTTCTTCGTGTTGTTCTATGAAAAAGTAGTGTGTAGGAGGGCAATTTCAGTACAATTTTGCCTGATGTGTAATCCCTTAAAGGATTAACGATTACTAGTAATGATACAATATATGTCCTATTGCACTTACAAGCAGGATTGGAAAAAAAATTATTTTGTCAGGGTTAAATTGGATTTTTTCATCATCTCTTTTATTCATTAAAGTCTTAGAGTAAGTCTTGCTGCATGAATGAACACCATTAATTTTATTAATATTAAAATAGATATTAATACATTTTATTATTAATATCATTTACATTGATAAATTAGCAATAATTTTTTAATAAGAGTTATAGGGTTCAATTACCTTTTGTAGGATTTACATATTCTGTTTTAGGATAGATTTAAAAAAACTACTAAATGTTTAAGTGAAGAAATAAGTTATTTATTTTAATTCAATTGAAAGTCAATTTTCAAAGTAAATTCTTAACGTGGGGAATGTATTTATGCAATTGTGCATTACATTACTTTTCTAACAGTGTTGTGTCCTTTTTTATGTATAGTCAAAGCGGGCTTCTAGAATAAGCTCTACTATTTCAACAACAAGGATTACATCAGAACAGGAATTTTGTACAAGTATTTTACCAGTTAAAAGGGGCTATTTTTTAAAAGTATCATTTCAAACTATGTAATTAGACTCACTGTTTAGGAAAATAGTATTTAAAATGCACTTTTTAAAAAAAATATTTTCCTATTTCATTGAATTGTAATTCTAATTATATTTCATATTGTATCTTGTTATAACTGGTTTTAATTATATTGTAAATTAGTATCTCAAATTTTTGTGAGAATACCTTAGTTAGTACAATATTTCCACTTTCTAATAGTACATATTTAATTAAAATTTAATGAACAGAATATAGAAGTAATGGAAATATAAATATTTCAACGTATGTAGTTTATATTTTGTACTATTATAAACTTAATATCTTGAGCTGATTTGATAGTAATAAAATGCAATTATGAAAAAACGTGAGTTTTTTTCAAGTGCTTTTTCTCAGGTTGGGTAAAATCAGAACAATCCTGCTTACAAGGGAAGTGGATAGCTTAAAAATTCCTATATAAGCAAAGTTAAACCTAAATTTAAGAGCATTTTTATAAACCTTGGATAGGGTTTATATTAGCTGTCTAACTAGGGTAAAATATGCTCCATTAAAGTTTCTGTTCATTTATTTTTAAACTAATAAAAATGATGTCCTGAGATTAAATCCCAGCTGGAAAGGTTGAACTATATCTCTAATTTCCTTTTCTAAAAAAGATTCATAACTATTTAATATTTTATTCACATGATAATTTTTTTATTTATTTAGAACTTAAATTTTTAGGAACAACTAAATTAATAGAAATTTAAAATTTTTTTTTAAATTAAAATATTTAGGTTATTGAGAAAAAAATTTTAAAATAACATTTTGTATCTTTTTAAAATTACAATCTAATTAAAATTTTATTTTTTATTTAAAATGCATGGATTATTTTAAAAAATTTACAGTTCAAAATTTAAATTAAAATTTTATAATTCTTTTTTAAGTAATCCATACATTTTAATTAAAAAATAAATATCTTTCAATTTTTTTTGCTTTTAAAAATTTAGTTTTTAAAAAAAATAAATTTAAACTAAAAAATAATAATATATAAATTGAATAAAGCATATTAGATAGTTATCAATCTTCTTTAGAATAGAAAATTGGAAATAAAATTCAATCGTGCCAACTGAGATCAGGACCCCCAACTCAAGACCTCTCTGGTAAAAGGCATAGAGCCTAATCACTATACCACCATTGAGATAAGTCTGGAAACTTCGTTAGTTTAAAAATAAATGAACTGAAATTTTAATGGGGCAAATTAGGTGTCTAATTTTGTTTTGATAGGAATTTTTGAGATGTGAGTTAGTCTAATTTTTATGTCTTTAATTTTCACCATTACAAAAGCTTGTTTATAAAACCAATCAGATTTCTCTTTATATAATAATGTCTCTGTATGCTATAAGCTGTCTTATTTTAACTAAGCAAAGTTTATATTTTTAGAGAATATAATTTAGATGTGTACAGATTATAATCTTTAGTGACGGAGCATGATGCAAAGAAAGCTGAAGTTATTAAGAAAGTAGATCATCCTTTCCTAATCAGTTTAACGTATCCAGGAATGCAAGTTAGTATACGCAATTCTGATATAGCATATTATTGGTACAAAACTTATATCATATTTATATTTAAAAAGTGTGTTGATTAAAAGGTTCTCTGTAATAATGTGTATCTAATTGTGTTTCAGGGTAATTTGTTAAACTCTATTGACATTATACGGTTTTAATAAGTGAACGTACTTAAGTTTCATTAAAAGCTTAAAAGGAAAATTTTTAAATTTAAATTAAAAAGCTTATTTAAGTGATAAAGGTTTTTTCTATCAGTAAATCCATTAATCAGGCTGTAAATTGACTGCACAATTTATTTAAGAAAGTAGTAATATAACAATTTTGTTTTTTTATTGCTACATTAATGATCTGTTAATCATATCATTTGTCCTCTAAATCAAATTACATATGTTTTCTGAAAATCGTGCATTCCTTAAAGTTTTTAGGATTATAATTAGTTTTTTGGTTTATTCCTTTTAGCATAATTTCAATCTATAATGGCAAGATATTTCCTCAAATCTATGATATTTCATTTATTTTATAATTTTTTTTTCTATTCTCAGTTTTGAAAATTTTTTAACTAACCATTTTTCCACAAGTATTAAAAACTAATCTAATAAAATTTTAAATCTATGGACTGATAGTGTTTGAGGTTAGGTACTGGCAATTTGGAATTTTCCTTGCAGCATATTAGGAAAACAGTTAATAATAAATTTTTAATTTTTGTGAAGTTATAAGTTTTGACAATTAAATTGATTTTTGTATGGCCAATTTTTCTTCCTAGGTCTTTCATATTTATACTAATAGTTTTATTTTAATGTAATATAATGTTATTTATTTAACCAGAATTTTATCATTCCATATAACTTGAATGTTTTTCAATTCCTATATTTTCTGACCAACTGAGCTACTTGATATAATTTCATTTTTCTGTTAAGAATTTTAAAAGATAAAAATATAAGATTAATTATGTTATTCATTATTAAAAAGTATTAAATTTGTTGGACATAAAATTAGTT